CTTAAGGTCTCAATTATGCACATATGTAATTTAAGAACGTTGTTTCTACTGATAAATCATGCTTTATTCGTGCTCGTTTTGTTCTTGTTGGACTTAAAATGGCTCATCCGGGCATTCTTAGCCCCCCACTGCCTCCCAAGAAGTTCATCTAAGACTGTATAGGACACAGGCCTCCGGTCGTACAGAAACGTTTAAGCCATGAATCCCGTGGCAGTGTGTTCATTGTGCGGGTTGTTGGGCGCGTAGTTACATAGCCCGCATGTTGCATGTTATGACGTGGCCTATGGCAAAGGGACGAAGCCACGCGCCGTGCCACGTGCTAAATTGACCATGCTATGATCGGCCAGAAAGCCAATTAGCGCTAAAGGCCAAATTTACCATGTGTGATATTTTTATTCATCTGTGCTGCAGATAAATATGTCGATAATTTCTTGAAAGTCATATTCGCACGGGAGCCGGCCAATCAATGGACGCCACGCCAAGGCCGAAATATTCCAGAATGCCCGTAGCACGTCTTTGGCAATAATTCTCCCGAACTAGTGCCACTTCAATTCCAGGTAGAATTTATTTGTAAACACAAGGCTACTTAAAACTTGCAAATACTATTTTAATAGTGGCAATTGTTTAGCGTGCATGTAGGGATGTATATGAAGCAGCGGCATGTAAACAATAGTGGTTTCAAAGGCATTGTCTATTACCCCCATCAAATAAACTGGATGCCGGAATTTAAATTTAAAATATGCTGCAAAAATCTACAGGAATTGATGATGGGGCATCCCGGTAAAGGATCGAAGTGCAGTTAAATCAAAAGGCAGCAGAAAGACCTGAGAAAGGAAGTAACCGAAAGACATCGTGTTTAGAGGTGCACATGTCTTCAAGCGATTTCTGGCTGTTTGGTTGAAGACTGCAGTCTGATGGCCATACCGATACATAATAAAACTCTTGCCTAACATGCTGGAAAAAGTAATAAGTTACGTAGGTAATATTATCCATATTCGTTCAAGGGGTCATAAATAACCTTTTAGGCCGTCGTTAAGCATTGGGCGGTTCTAAGGATGTCGAAGGATGTGCTGAAGCACTGTACAATGCCTAAAGAGGAGAGCAGATTAATATTCATCGAAGTGGATAAACTGAGTTGGGAATGATATACAGGATGCAGATTAATGAAAACAAACCGTTCAGAATCAGTCGCACTCCGATGCGCAAGAAGTCTGACTACTTAAATACACAAACTAGAAAATTGGCGATAACGAATATCTGCTAGTTGGCAATCCCTCTTAATTATCAATCGTGTGTCGCTATGCGGTCGCCTACGAGGGTTGTAGCTTCATATGTGCATAGTCCATCGCGCAAGGAGGGCGAGTAAAGGACTGCCATCAATATGCTTCAGTTAGATATTTAGGACACTACTACTAATTAACAAAATGAACAGGAAAAGATTAAAAAACGAGCATTTCTATCAGGTTGTTTATGTTATAACCTGCGCCTGGCACTTATAATTAACACGAACCGTGGGCTTGCATTAATGATGTTCCAAAAAGCCAGCGCGAGAGAGGCGAAGAGAAGGCAATCCACCACGAGGGGAACTGTACTAACGAATAGCAAGTCATTCTAAGAAAAAGGCTGCGCATATTTATTGATCCTCTTGATGAGAAGGTCTCAAAGACGGACCAATCAGATCTGCTGAGCAATCGATAGTCACGGTCCAGGTGCACGCTCTGATAACAGGCAGCGTGGCAGCCCAACCAAGCGCCTTTATGTGCGCTCACAAATCGTGGGATCGGAAGCATTCCCAACAGTTTACCTGCATGTCACAGTAATTCTGCCGTCGTCGTCAACGATGTCCAGTGCCTGTGTGCTACATCGGGGTGGGTGCTGGAATGGTGACTTGCGCCTGAATTCATTTATAGCGATTTGTGCAACATTTACCGCATTCCCTTCTTCTACGTCCCCTGTGCCCGACAGAGTTAAGAAAACCGGAGATGGAATCGATAGGAATAAAAAATACCACACACGACGAGGCTGTCCGTACAAAAAGTCAAGAAATCAAACTTAAAGGCGTGGGCGGTTTGAAGTTCACATGTGTGCGAGTGCCCTAGGGACCACAGTAAGAAGGAGGCATTGCAGCCTCTAATTCCACCGCTCGACAACTCTCCCAAAACTTAAACTGACCTGGCTGCAGCCACAATTACACCTTCAGCTTAGTCCTTTACTGTCAATGCAGGCTTCTCCATCGAAAACCTTAGCAATCTCTGAAGATCCTCCACTGAGAGGTAAGCTGTATTCTTATTTTTTCGCTTCGTTCTCCTTCTCGTTTCCTCTCTTGCCTCTTCTTCGTTCTCTTCTCTCTCTTTATCTCGCCCTCTTTCGCTCTTTTTCCTTTGCTTGTTCTTATACTTCGTCCTCCTAGTTTCTTTTCTCGTTCCTTTTCCTTATTCATTTTCTCTCGCCCTCTCTCCCTCTTTCTCTCTCTCCATATCTCTCCATCCTTTGCTCTTCCCTTGCACAACCTGCTCAACGTTGTTCATCCCCAACTTGTTTTTCTTTTCAGCACTGCGCCCATCCCACCTCAGGCAACCGATCAGCTAGGCGGTGATCTTTTGCTGCCGATAGGGGAGAGAGTGAGGTCGACCCTCAGTGCATTCAATTTCCTCACTCTAACCAATTTGATATGCTTGAAACCATCGCGGTGCGCTAAAAGCCGTGGCTTGGAGGGTTGCCAACTGACGGGATAACTTAGACATGGCAGTCGCTCCAGTATGTTTTGTGAAGTGGCTGTCTGCGGGCTGAGAGTCGGGCTCAATGGTTCCTTCTTAATGCGGCTTTTATGGCGCTCCCTGTCCGGAGCCTGCCTGCCTCGGCATGCTATTGGTACGCTGTTGAATGTTGGTCGTGCAAGCCGTCTGCGCCCTACGCCATCTCCGGCCTTCTTCACTTTTGTCTCGAAAAGGCTCCCGGTGTAGGAGTGGTCAGAGAGTGGGGTAGATGCTCCGCGAGTCTACCCTCGCTGTATATCTCACGGGAGTCACCGCGTTGCGTCAACTCGTTGAAACTCGTGGTGGACATTGTCGAAATCGACGGTTGAACCGTCGTCTGTGTCTGTGCTACATCGAGGTGGGTGATGGAATGGTCACTTGAGTGTGAAGTAGTGTATAGTGGTTTGTGCAACATTTCCCGCATTCCTTCCTTCTACGCCCCCTATGCCCGACAGTATTAAGAAGACCGAAGATGGAAGCCACCGGAATACGCATGCCACACACGACGAGGCCATCCATACAAAAAGCCAAGAAATTAACTTAAAAGGCGTTGGCGGCTTGAATTTCACACATGTGTGCGAGCGCCGTAGAGACCACATTAAGAAGGAGCCATGACAGCCACTCATTCCCCCGATCGGGCACTCCCCCGAAACATAAACTGGGCTGACTGAGAGGTTTTAGATGAATCGTCGGCTGACAAATGTGTACCATGCCTTGTTCTAGCGCTCCGGGAGAGATTAAAGTGCACCAGATTGAGGAAAATATACTGAAGTAGACCTTTTTATTTTTTTCACCTTCCTATGCAGTATTGTGTTGTCCGAAAGACTGATTCTGAGATTAGGAGGTGGCTGACAAGTCTATACACTTGGGCTGCGTGTTCTGAATACAATCAATCACCCAACCCCAATAGGAGATATTTATCGATAGAAAACCCAAAATACCGTTCACTCTAGTTTTTATAAAATGTCCAACGTTTAAAATGTCTCTCCATACCTTGCGAACTCGGAGTTTAACACAGAAGTCTTCTTAACAGCACTAGTTAGATGTTTATGCTACTCCCAGTTATAGAAATAGGCGTATCATAGCGAGATTGCAAAGCTTTCGAAGACCGAGATTGTGAATGAATAGTTCTGCAGGAAAAAATCCTCTGTTCGTTCTATGACTTTCCTAGATGCAGTTCTCTCAATTTATGGCTTTCACAAAACCTTCGTGTTGGGGCAAACTGTTCAGACTTATTATGAAGAGCTTATTGTTCTGAACCAAGCAAATTACGCTGACCTGTTTGCTTTCTTAGCTGTTATGAAACGCTGTAGGCAGGGAGAGAGAGAGAGGGATCATAATGATCACTAGGTCCATACGCCCATCCTGTCAACCCAACTATTTGCCTACGTCATCGGTATAGGAACAGCGAAGATTAAGTTGACTCGGCCCGCGCGAATACCTC